AAAAATGCAAGTTTCGTTCAACCATCGCCACAGAAAAAGTTTGACACTTTATTCTGGTAGAGAAAAGACCTCCTGTTTAATGCTAGGCAGTTCGTAGAGTTAAAATGTGGTATACATTTCGACTTACAGGGCTTTTTGTCACGCAATCTACAGGTCCGCATGGAAACGAGGCAGGTCACAGGTCAGGGCACAGGCCACAGGCCACAGGTCAGGTTACAGGCCACAGGTCACAGGTCACAAGCCTCAGGTCAGGTTACAGGTTACAGGACATATGACGAAAATTGTAGTTTCCGTTACTAAACATTACATAAGGACTGTTTACATGATAACAAGTAATCTGTAGTTACATTTGTTTGGCGAGTTTTGGTTACCTAGCAAAGGCTATGTTCAGATAAGATATTGTCTAATTTCTTCAATTGAGTCATTGACATGCAGCACTGCATCCTTTGATACATCAACAGTTTACAGAGTCAAAGATTATTCAAGTTGTGATGGCGCGGAATGCTACCACCTAAGGACCACAAGGCAAATCCAACAGAGTTATATCAAGCTTTTGTGCAACAGAACGTGAGAAAATTGCAGGCTCTTGGGAGAAGAGCCGAGAAATATGGTCCAGCAATTATTCGAGAGGCCCAAATAGCAGTGTTTGAAGTTCTTGGCCGACTACGCTTTAACACAGCAGCATTTTGTGACTGGTACGAAGCGCGAGCCCCGGGGCCCCCCGGGGAGCGAGCAACAGGCCCCAATCTTCAAAACAGATGGAAGACCCACCGAGTGGCAAGTAGAGTTTAAGACGAGGAAAGTCTGAAGAAAGTTGCCATATTTCAGTGGTCAAATAAGTTTTACACTGTTCTAAGGATTTTCGTCCGTTTTCCCGTCGAATGCTTTTCAAAACATCCGCAAACACGTCACGATATTCTTAACGCATTAACATTTGTATACGCATTTGTGTACGCATTTTTGTAATAAAATATCAATCAAGAACAGTTTTGTCCAGCGTCCTATTGTTTTTGTGTGACCTGTGACCTGACCTGTGACCTGTGACCCGTAACCTTACGTGTGACCTGACCTGTGACCTGCACTTTAGCCCCGCCGTTCATTCAGGTCGAGAATGTTGCCGTTACAAAATACTCATAGACATTAAGCTCCCTCCGTAGTCTCATATGCACCCGTTTTTTTCTCGATTTTCACATGACATGAACATAAAATCAAAGAGCTGCATAGAAGACTACTTCCTCCATACCACTCCTACTGTTCCCTTCAATTATTATGGTTACTCCTTCACGAACCATTTACATGTAATTGGTATCAAATTGCACAAATTAAAAAAAATTGAACAAGTGTAAAATATAAGAGCCTATATTTACCCTGATAATAAAGACTGACCAGAGTTTCATTCATTTAAGGTTGCTAAAATTTGTTTAGACCTCTGGTAAAATTCATCTTCAAAAATTAGCGGTGGTCGACAGGGGTGGTCCATGGACTGGGGGTCTGTGTTTTGTATACATCTGACTGAAATACCATTTTTCCCTACCCTTTTATATACTTCAGCTACTGTAATCCCTAACCTTTCATATACTCTTTTAAGTGGAGCCTTCTCGAATAGGCTATCATAGGGAATACCCCCAGGGATTTAAAGCCAAAAGCCATTTTTATTTCAAATCTTTTCAAAAAAGATATAGGGCAATATTATTTTGTTTATTCCCAAGCATTCTATCATAAAATTAAACACAGTTCCCATGGAGTCTGAGTGGGCTACCTGTGTTCAGACTTAAATAAACTTCCAGCCTAAAAACTTCATACAACTAAAACACCTGTCCTCCACAATTACAATTGTAGCGTCACTAGAATTTTCTCGTAATTACTATTATTAAAGAAATCTACATAAATTATTGTATTTTCTAATGGCTCAGTCAATGCCAAGGATACCCATCATCCCCCTTCCCCAGGCCTGCATTTGATAGCTTTAGCCATGGTGGTGGTGGGGGGATGGGGGGGGCATTTTGTCATCAAAGGTCCCCTAGAGGTGGGACAATTGTCACTGTTAAATTTAATAATATTTCAAAAACAGATTGCCTTCCACAGGCCCAGGGAGGTCCTCCCATACATTACCTATACGGGTATGTGCCGCCCAACGGGATCGTGATTTTAAAGCTCCTCGGGAACAACCTGGCCCAGAATGTTTTTCGTGGCTGAACAGTTTCCTCTATTTTCAGCCTTTTATGATTGATACTGTTCAGTGGTAGGATATATAGCGACACTGTAAATTGATGTTGATCACTGTTAACCGTACAGAAACTGTTTCTTGCGATCACAACTGAAAGCAAACGCACCGATGGACATTTCAAGCATTTCAGTATTATTCAAAACGTACAGCTTAATCAAAATTTCTCGTCGGAAAAACGTGAGGAGCGTTCTGAAAGATACAAGAATCCATTGAAAAGAAGCTTTCGCAAAGCCGAGAAGGCCACAGTTTCCATTATGTTTGGTAAACTTTGGTTTGTTTTGGTTCTTGGACCTCTGGAACCTCTGGGCCAAAGGTTCATGATGTCATTATTTTCAACAGCCAATGAGGGGCCAGAATTTGATTTGCATATGAATAACATACAAAAAAAACCATTGAATTTGTAACCGAGCCGGGATAGCGCAATTGGCATAAGCATTGAATAGGCAACTAATTGGCAAACAAAGAGGTGAACAAAGAGGTGACGGGTTCGAGTCCCGCCTGATTAGCATAAAAAAGGAAAAAAAAGAAAACAGCACGGCTTTCATCTGGGAGGGCTTGGGGCGAGGGGAGGGAGGAAAAAAGCCCTCGGGAAGGGTATGGGAAGCGGGAGTCGGTACAACGGTCCGAAGGCGGGCCGAGAGGAGGGCAGGGAGAGGGGAGTAGGTGGAAGGGGGGTAGGAAGACAGGTAGATGGGTAGGTAGGGGGTAGGTACATAGTTAGATGGACAGCTAGGTAGAGGGGTATGTAGAGGGGGGCAGGTAGATAGGTAGAGGGCGGAGGGATAGGAGGTGGAAGGGAAAACAAAAAGAAAATAAGGAAAATAGCGCGGCTTTCATCTGGGAGGGCTGGGGTGAGGGGAGGAAGGAAAAAGGCCTTGGAAAGGGTATGGGAAGCGGGAGTCGGTACAACGGTCCGAAGGCGGGCCAAGAGGAGGGCAGGGAGAAGGGAGTAGGCGGGAAGGGGTAGGTAGATAGGTAGATGGGTTGTTCGAACGCCGCGCTAGCGCTAACTCAGCGTTAAATGTTAACCCAGGGTTCCTTTTCTTTTTATCAAAAGCACTCTCTCAGATAATTTTGTCTAATCTTGAATTCACGATTTTAGAAAGCTAAAATTAAAATGTTGAATTCAGCCAAAATCTTCAGTAGTAATAGACGAGGGGTTCTGCGCAGTGGTGGAGGTGGTGGAGTGACGTCACAATAGCTCATGGGATTAAAATGATGAGATCGTCATCTAAAAATAGAAAGGTATTCAAATCTGACAGCAATATAAGGCGATGATGTAGGCAGTAAAATCATTTGAGACTAGAACATTGCGAAGTGATTAGAGCGATGGGTTGTTGTCCACCATCGACCACGTTTGGACATCATTAGTCAGTTAATTATGCGAGTTCACACGCCCAAACGTGAATACAAATTAGTTCATCTCTAAACCTAGACCCAAGGGAGTACATTGACATATTATAATATAAACAGTTTTAAAAAACTAAACAAGGATCAATTAAAACACGCGAGTAATAATTGCTAGCAATAAAACCACAAGACAGATACCATTTTAAAAACTTTATTAAAAACCAATGACAAAAAAAAAAGAGCCAAATACCCAGCCATTTGAAAGGATAAGGAATGAAAATTAATCCGTGGACTGACTGTCCATCCGTTTTTTTCCGTTCTATTTCGAGGAATAATAAATAATCCTTCCACGTCTACACAATTTTCCTATGGCCTCTAAGCCAAGGGTTCGACTTACTTTGTTTCTTGCGCTTTGTCTTGTTCTTTGTAGTCGGTCTTTTAGCTTTTGCTTTAAAAGAGGCTTCATTTCTCTGTGATCTTGACAGTTCGCAGTACACCGTTTCTTGTGTCTGTACTGGATTGCGATAGTGATTTTTTTCCGGAATTATCCGCTTCACTTTCGTAAACGACGACTTTAACTTTAGGTTGCAGTTTCGCCTCTTGTAAATACTGTCTTCGCTGTATGTGGTCTAACTGATGAACATCCGCGAGATGGCTAGCTAATCTGACAAGGTACTTCGATTCGCCCCACACAATGAAATAGGACAGTTTCTGCAAACTCTCTTGTAAACCATGTTGACAGTTCGATGGCTGAACACAAATGACATCTTTTTCGCAAATAGTCAGGTTATATAGAGTGTCAGAAAGGCCAACCACAGGCCAGAAAGGCCATAACAAGGCCTGAAAGGCCAAAACCAGGCCAAAAGGGACAAAAGGAGACAAACGGGTTATTTCTAGTCATGTGTCTTTATTTTTCTCAAACACACGCGTGGGCGTGGCGCGTCGCTAGTCACACAACAGCTCTCGACTGTTTTGAAAGTCTACTTTATTCAGTGTAATCGCAAATAACAGTGCCTAATTAAAAAAGTTTTGATCGTGAATTAGTAATTGGTATCTCAAATTTCAGTACTTTGTACAGTTGTCCCAGTTGTATTGGTCTGATGGGGTAGTCTAGAAACTTATTTTCCAAAGATACATAGACTGAAGAGGAAGTATTACGAAACTTGGCCCTATTGTCCTGGTTTTGGCCCTTTTTACCTTCGTTTGGCCTTGGTTTGTTAAGTGTAGGTCGATGTGGGGTCGATGTAAGATCGATTATTATTTACGAAGGAGAAGGCTTAGGCAAACCCCGCCTTCACCAATTTTCCATAAAAGATACGCGTTGCTTCTGAATTTTAGTTTCCTATCAGAACACGTCCGGTTCAAACCAAAGATGACGAGCACAGGTTATACCTTATACCTTCAACAAGGAGCTGGAAAATATGAAGACAGCGAAGAAAGCGATTTCTCCCAAGAAAGCGAAGTCTCTAGCCAAGAAATGGAGTCTTCCCAAGAAGAAATAGAAAACTTAGCGCCTTGGTTACGCATTTTTGATGAAGCTGAGAAACGCCATGAGACCCAGCTCAACGCATTGATCAATGAGTACGAAGGGAACAGAGATTCAGAAAATGTGGCCCGCGTGGAAGCCGAGAACGCACTTCTTCCTGTTTACAGAAAAGAGCTAAGAAAAGTACTCATTAGAGAATCTACAGTGGATGCGTGCAATGAAAAAAGATTTCACCTTCAAAAAAGCGATTGAAACCCAAAAAGAACTAAAAGATACAGAAGGATTCGATTGGTTGGAATCAACAGAACTAGTGATCGATCAGCGACAATTCTTACTCAATCGACTGTATCAAAAGCAGCCCATTCCACAAGATGAAAGCTAGTCCAACTATGAATGTTATAGAATTATTTTTCCTAGACCTTTGTATTGTTGCGTTTCAATAAAAACTGTAAACAATCAAACTTTAAGAGTGCTTTATTGCTGACCTGAAGATAATAACAATAATAGTAAACTGATACAATCAATAAAAAATCTGAAATTTGAAATACCAATTACTAATTCACGATCAAAACTTTTTTAATTAAGCACTGTTATTTGTGATTACACTGAATAAAGTAGACTTTCAAAACAGTCGAGAGCTGTTGCGTGACTAGCGACGCGCGACGCCCACGCGTGTGTTTGAGAAAAATAAAGACACATAACTAGAAATGGCCCGTTTGTCTCCTTTTGTCCTTTTTGGCCTGGTTTTGGCCTTTCTGGCCTGTGTTTGGCCTTTCTGACACTCTATATAACCTGACTATTTGCGAAAAAAATGTCATTTGTGTTCAGCCATCGAACTGTCAACATGGTTTCCAAGAGAGTTTGCAGAAACTGTCCTATTTCATCATGTGGGGCGAAGTACCTTGTCAGATTAGCTAACCATCTCGCGGATGTTCATCAGTTAGACCACATACCGCGAAGACAGTATTTACAAGAGGCGAAACTGCAACCTAAAGCTAAAGTCGTCGTTTACGAAAGTGAAGCGGACAATTCCGGAAAAAAATCACTATCGCAATCCAGTACAGACACAAGAAACGACGTACTGCGAACTGTCAAGATCACAGAGAAATGAAGCCTCTTTTAAAGCAAAAGCTAAAAGACCGACTACAAAAAACAAGACAAAGCGCAAGAAACAGAGAAAGTCGAACTCTTGGCTTAGAGGCCATAGGAAAATTGTGTAGACACGAAAGGATTATTTATTATTCCTCGAAATAGAACGGAAAAAACGGATTTGTAACAGCCAGTCAACGGATTAATGTTCCTTCCTTTTCCTTTCAAATGGCTGGGTATTTGGCTCTTTTTTTGTTATTGGTTTTTAATGAAGTTTTTAAAACGTTGATCGTTGTTAAGTTATTTAAAATTGTTGATATAATAATACGTCCAGGTGCTCCCTTGGGTCTAGCGAGTTTGAGATGAACTAATTTGTATTCAAGTTTGGGCGTGTGAACTCGCATAATTAACTGACTAACGATGTCCGAACGTGGTCGATGGTGGACAACAACCATTCGCTCTAATCACTTCGCAATGTTCGTGTCTTAAATGATTTTACTGCCTACACCATCGCCTTTTATTATTTATTCAAAATATTTTCCCGATTCTGATTGGCTAAAAGCGCACGTTTCATTCACCATAACTATTTACTGATGACCAAATTTGGAAGAATTTTGTTGTTTAACGAGGAATTGACGTCAAAAATGCAGCTTTTGCGCCGGTTAAGGCACCTTCAACCAAGAAGACCTGGGGACGAGGTTGAGTTGTTTTAGTTGTGAACTTGAAAAATGGCGGCCATTTCACTCGTTTTAAGAGTAAGAACTAGGCGAAAACATAGCTAAAAACATGGCAAGAACAGCATGAAGACAACTCGAAGGGCGACATCTGCTATTTAAAGAATATTTGCGGAGCTGGACAAACGTAAACATGCACTATCGAAGATGAACTTAACGTCGATGGATCGATGGAGGTTAGCATGTTTTAGCCATGTTTTTAAACTAGAAATTATTTTGAATAAATAATAAAACAATTATTAAATTCGGTTTTCGTATCATATGAGGAATTATGGAGATCTCGGAGGGTGTTATCCGCCTCGGCCTACGGCCTCGACGGATAACACCCTCCTCGATCTCCATAATTCTTCATAAGATACGCAGCCTCATTCATTAATTGTTAAATATAACTGCTGTCAGATTTGACAAAGTGGGATAAATAACAGTTTATAAAATAACTAAGATAGTACGCGCGCTCTGATTGGCCGAGAGCAGTGTTTGCATGAGAGTATGTAAACATGGTTGAGGCGTCAAGTTGTTTGGCTTTTCGCGCGCTAATCACGCAAGCATCAAATTTGAAAAAGTTTTCGAGTTCAAAACTCGACAAGTTTACTTTATTTACCCATTCCTTCGTCGGCTGAAACATGGAAAATCGTTACAAAGAAGGTGAGTCAATTTTTCTTCGCTTAAGCTGACATTTTAAGCGAGAAAACTCCGTATTTTGCAAAGCATCTTTTTGCAAAACAAGAACTCATTACGCGTGCAAGACTTCGTGGAC